ACTCCAGTCTGGCCGACAGAGTGAGACTCCAACTCAAAAAAAAAGAAAAAGAAAAATACAAAAATGGTATCCTCTTAATAGAACCATCTTTTATAACATAGTGTAATTATCAAAAGCAGAAATTAAAATTGGTACAATACTACTAACTCAACTACAGACTTTTTTTTTTTTTGAGTCAGAGTCTTACTCTGTTGCCCAGGCTGGAGTGCAGTGGCACGCTCACGACTACCACAGCCTCGACCTGCTGGGCTCAGGAGATCCTTCTGCCTCAACCTTCCAAGTAGCTGGAACTACAAGTACACGCTACCACGCCTGGCTTATTTTTTGATTTATTGTAGAGACAATTCACCAAATTGCCCAGGCTGGCCTCGAGCCCTTAAGCCCAGGCAATCCTCTCACCTCAGCCTCCCAAAGTGCTGGGATTACAGGACTGAGCCACCACGTCCAGCCTAACTACAGACTTTATTTGAATTTCACCAGCTTTTCCACTAATGTTATTTCTCTGGTCCAGGATCCAATTCAGTTGCATTTTTTTGTTATTTCTCCTTAGTCTCATCTAATCTGTGACATTTCCTCAGTCTTTTCTTGTCTTTCAGGACTTTAATTAACACTTTTAAAGAATATTAGTTAATCATTTTGTAGACTGTCCCTCCATTTGGGTTTGTCTTATGTTTCCTCATATTTAGAAGGAGGTTGTACAACACAAGAAAACCACAAGAATGATGTGATGCCTTGCTCAGTGCATCACATGAGAGTTCGTGGTGTCCCTAAATCTTACCACTGGTAATACTAATCTTGATCACTTCATTAGCATTGTATCTGATAACGCTGCCAGGTTTCTTTTTCCTTTTGTAAGTAATAAATATCTTGAGGGAGATACTTTGAACTTTGCAAATATCCTGTTTCTGCTTATACTTTTACCTATATTAATTTTAGCATCCATTGATGGATCCTGTGTATGGTCACTATTATTGTTGTGTTTACCTAACGGTAATTTTCTGTTTTCCTCTTCTATATTTATTAATTGGGATTCTATAAGGAAAAGCTGTCTCTTCTTCCTAATTCATTTACTTTTCTAGTTACTTAGTTTTACCAGTATGTACTCATTGGTATGTATTTCATCTATGGGGTATAATCCAGTAGGATCATTATTTATTTTGTTGATCCAACCATTCTTTTGTGATTTTTGAACCCCCAAATGTAAACAAGTATAAATGTATCCAGAGCAAGGCGATAGATAGGTTGAGGAATAAAAGCATTTGAAAGACAAAATTGAAGGTCTTTTAAAGGATAAATATTATTCAGCAATAAAAAGACGTACTAACGTGTTATAGCGTAGATGAATCTTGAAAAATTATGCTAAGAGAAAGAAAGGGTCATCTATTATATGATTCCATTTATATGACGTGTCTAGAATGGGCAAATCTAGAGGTAGGTTAGTAGTTGCCAGGGTAAATCTAGAGGTAGGTTAGTAGTATTGGGGAGATGAGGAATGACTGCTAATGGATGCAGGGATTTATTTTGGGGGTGAAAAAAAGTTCTAAAGTTGATTGTGGTGATGGTTACACAACTGAGTAAATATACTAAAAATCACTGAAGTGTACACTTTAAATAGGAGAATTATATGGCATGCAAATATCTCAACAAAGCTGTTTAAAAAGAAGGAAGGCAGGGCGCAGTGGCTCACACCTATAATCCAAGCACTTTGGGAAGCCAAGATGAGAGGATTGCCTGAGCCCATGGGTTTGAGACCATCCTGAGCAACTTGGCAGTACCACATCTCTACAATAAGTAAAAAAATTAGCTGGGAGTGGTGGCATGTGCCTGTAGTTCCAGCTACTTGGAAGGCTGAGGTGGAAGGATCTCTTGAGCCCAGCAGGTCAAGGCTGTGGTGGCCGTGAGTGTGCCACTGCACTTCTGCCTGGGCGACAGAGTGAGACTACGACTCAAAAAAATAAAAATAAAGAAGGAAAAGATAAAACAAGTATGGTTATTAAAAATTCATAGAAAGCATTTTCACAGTAGATAGAGAATAATTAACACTGAATATTGGCTTAGCCATGCAGAAAATAGAGCTGTGATACAGATACAAAAACTAAATTATGGAAAGACTAGTAGTGTTTTGCTGTTAGTATTTTTGAAGCAATTGCACCCTAGACCATTAATACATGACATTAATTAAATTTATATTTAATTAAAAATAAACTGTAAGTAAATGTATTTGGTTCAGTGTATTCCAGGTCATTAATGTCCCAACTTTTAGGGACCTGTGTCCCATTTTAAACTTGCTGAGATTTTCTAACGCCCATAAATTTACTACTTCAGCTGTCTGTTCAATGTGATCTCATTCCCTAGCTTTCTTTATATTTATATTTATATGTAATGTAGATATACAATATGTGTATGTATTAAAATATTCATTAGTAATAAGAATATTATGTTATACTTTCATTTTACAAATTGTCTTTAACAAATGGCTAACAAGCATGTTTGTGCTATAGTCTACTTTTGCCCTGATAGTGATAAAAGAAGAGTAGAAAATATAAATTTACATACCTTGAAGATATTATTGTTGTGTTTACCTAACGGTAATTTTCTGTTTTCCTCTTCTATATTTATTAATTGGGATTCTATCATTGGAAGAATAATTGAATAGTAAACAGGACAGATTCTGTTTGGAGTGTTATCTTCGTCTTTCTGTGTTAGTTTCCTCTATATTTGCTTTCTCTTTATTGTGATTTTAGTTTCCATAGCCTCTTCAAAAACAGACAGTTGGAGGAAGGAACATAGGAAATTATAAGATCTGCTGCATTAGGGTTCTGGCCCAAGTCTACCACTAACTAGCTATGTACTCTGTGACTTTGAAGGACTAACTTAACTCGTCCAGACCACAATGGGTACATCTGTAATAGAGAGGATGCATGTATCAATGGGCAAATCCTTCTTTAGTGTGTCACAACATTCAGAACATGTTTTTCTTCTCAATAAAATACTAGACTTATAATTTTGGCTTTTCTTTTCAATAAGAATAAATGGTAATAGATTCTATTTACTTACACATTTAAGAAGTAATACTTTTGTTTTATGTTTACATGATGACTGTACAGATTTTAACAGAAGTTTTAGATCCCTTGGATAAAATATAACCAGATCTGAAAACTTCAGCTATTGTATACTACTAAGGTAGTCTGTAAACACCTTAAAGCACCTTAATTGTTTAGTATAGGTACTTTGCATTTTTTCCATAGGTTTATCTCTTGGACTTCTATAATATCCGCATCAGTGTTCCCTTACCTCATTTATTTTTTTAAATGCAACTCCTCTGTCCTTCCTTAAAGACAGCAATCTTCTCTCTGGAGGTTAGGCTGAAAACATTTGAGAAATTGGCCTAGGTTTGGTTCATGGAATGTTCTGTCTTCATAGAAAAGTGATTTTGATTAGACTGTATCAGCTACAATAGGAGCTACTCATTAGGGAATAACAGCTAAAGCTGTTCCCTAATGGCATATCCTTACCATGCTACGTGCATCTGTTGTTTTTACTTTACTTCATAATAGAACTTAATGAGTTCTTCTCTCTTACATGACCTCATATATTTTGCATTAAATGCTATTCATACCTGTATTTTTCCTCAACTTATCTAGGGATCAGGCCCAGCCCCAGGACCAGTGATATTACTGAATTCACTGAACGTGGATGCAGTATGTGAGAAACTAAAGCAAATAGAAGGTCTAGACCAGAATATGCTGCCTCAATATTGTGCAACAATCAAAAAGGTGAGGTCCCCACTTACACTCTGACTAAGGGATTTCACATTGAGATAAACATAACTCACCTTTCCGATGTGGAACAGAAAAACTTTTTATGTTATATTTTTTTCTAATTGTAATATTTATTTGAATGACTTAACAATTATCAAAGTAAGCCTCATTTTCTCCAAATCCTCATTTTTGTGTCATATAAGACTTAGGATTATGTCACAGCTGATGAAACTACATAGGTTTGGTTTTGAAAGGCTAATGCGTTTACAGAAGTTTAGATCCTGTTATTGCAAGATCCTTTTCTTGCAAGTCTATTATTAATATTCTAATAGCTACCAGGAGGTTGGACAGGGCTGTGGGAAAGCTTCCCTTATACCAGGTTAACAAGTCCAGTTATATTACAGTAGATATTTCCACTGATTTGTATTTTGTGAGAGTACTCCAGTAAAGTAAGGCATTAATGACAAGCCTCTAATATTTATATAATTTAAAGAATGGCATCTGAAGTTTTTAAAAGAATTGTGAGCATATATGGATACCATTTTACTGATCGTAGCCTGTGTTTAGTCAGAAAGCTTTCAGATAGTGTCAGTTTTCTTTTGTCTTTCTTTTTTGAGTTGGAGTCTCACTCTGTTGCCCAGACTGGCGTGCAATGGCACACTCACAGCCACCACAGCCTTGACCTGCTGGGCTCAGGTGATCCTCTCGCCTCGGTCTCCCAAAGTGCTGGGATTACAGGCTTGAGCCATTGTGCCCAGCCATGTCAGTTTTCTTACAGAGCTGGTTTACCACAATACCTTCTGCATGAGTCAGAGTAGGCCTTTCCCATGTATAAGCCTGACTCTTTCCTCCAGGCAACTGATCAGTGTCAAGAGAGAGTGAGGTCTCCTATCTGAGTCTTCTGTAGGGATTTTGTTTCCATCGGGATAGTGGTTTTCTCCTAACTCAGCTCTTTACCACCAGGTCCTGGCTTCCTGGGTCCTGCCATAGCACTGACTGTGGGTGTGCTGCTGACGCCTTTGTGTGGTCACAGCCGGGCATCTACCACAGACTTGCTCTGGACACTTGTTTCTTCAGAACCAACTTGAAACGGAACACTGTTGATTTTAAACATGGGTATTTTGTAATTTTACCAGTTAATAAGGTCAGGTTTTATATTTCATAAAAGAAGTAAGCTCCCTATTATTAATGGGGAGTTTGGGGAGAAACTAGAATTACAGAGTACCAAAATTGATAAAATCATTTTTTGTGAATTTAATAGAAATGAGTGGGTGGACATTCTTCATGGCTGGAGTTAATATAAATTATAAACAAGTTTGCAGACCATACTTCATTTGGAACTTTGTCTCATAGTGACTCATGAGGACAGATGTCTTTGTCCCCTCCTGGCAGCTTGTGTTCATGTTCATATTTTTTAAAACTAGGAAAACAACAGTTTTGTTGTTGCTCGTGACATGGTAGGTAGTTTTTGAAATAGTTGGGAGGGGCCAGGCGTGGTGCCTTATGCCTATAATCCCAACACTTGCGGAGGCCGAGGTGAGAGGATTACCTGAGCAACCTGGGCAACTTGGCAAGACCTCATCTCTACAATAAATCAAAAAGTTAGCCAGGCGTGGTGGTGCATATCTGTAGTTCCAACTTCTTGGAAGGCTGAAGTGGAAAGATCACCTGAGTCAGCAGGTCGGGGCTACAGTGGCTGTGAGTGTGCCACTGTACTCCAGTCTGGGCGACAGAGTGAGACTTGGACTCAAAAAGAAATAGTTGGGAGGGTTAGCTCTTGGGCTGCTCTCTGAAGAGTAATTTGCTTTTAAATGCTTAAGACATTTGGAAAAATATGGAGTAGCTTATGTTGTTCAACTTTAGCTTGTTTATTATATTATTACATGGCATGATAACCTCTTTTAAGTCAACCTTTCTGGTTGCTAGTGAATTTCTTAAAGCTAAACATAAGCATACTCTTTAGTCACTAGTAATTAAAAATATTTCACATTTTATTTGTCTTTATACCTGTATTTGTTTTTATTTTTACTCAGGCAAACATAAATGGCCGTGTGTTAGCTCAGTGTAACATTGATGAACTGAAGAAAGAGATGAATATGAATTTTGGAGACTGGCATCTTTTCAGAAGCACAGTAAGATATTTATAACATTATTATGGTATTTATAACATTATTTTGGTATTCACAACATTGTATAAAACTGGTATCAATAAGTATTAGTCTAAACTGGTATTTTTCCATATTTTTTAAAATGTAAAAACTGTACTTTGCACTTGTGTATAGCTTTGTGTTATGGAGAATATGCATGGCAGCATGTGGCAACCTTTGTCTTTTTGGGCATTTCACTCAGAAATGTGAGGAAGAGGCCATCCGTCAATGCATCACACCTTCACTTGACCTGACTCCAGTCAGGGTCCTCTAAGCCCTGTAGGACTCACCCTTCTGTTTCTGTCCTTATGGGGCTTGTATTGCCTGATTTTGGCAAGGATCCTAAGTCAGTTTATAAAGAACCCCACAATGGATATGTGATCACCTGTGGTATTGAATCAAATCCTTCATCCCTTACCTTCCCCCAGGTGAAGTCTGGTCACCCTTGCCATCGGCTTAGCCAGAATCCTCCCCTCACCCCTGAGGCTTTCTCTTAGTAATTTTCTTTCCATTGCCCCCCCCCCCCGCTATAAATCCCCACTTATCCCTGCTGCATTCAGAGTTGAGCCCGGGGTTCTACTGAACTCGCTTTTCCCCTAGTGCAGCAGTCCTGTTTCACTGCTCTAACTGCCGTCCAGCTCTGGTTTTCTTTGACAAGCTCCAGCTGCATTTTGCTTTGTTTTCAAGTTAAGTTTTAAATTAAAGCAATAATATAATGAGCAAATTGGAGTGTAGTGTATATGTATATATGTGTGTGCATGTTAATTTCTTCCACTACTTCTTTTAGTATTAATTAAAATCAAAGATAAGCAGATATGATAGGAATTCACTTGCCAGAAGTATGCTTCACTTGCTGAAGTATTTCCATTATAATGACTGTATAATGTTTTATTTTTCTAAAATATTTGTAAAGCTTCTGAAATATTATTTGTCAGTGTAGATATTTATGATATGTTTTTCTTCTCCTAAGGTACTAGAAATGAGAAATGCAGAGAACCAAGTGGTCCCTGAAGACCCACGTTTCCTGAATGAGCACAGCAGTGCCCCAGCCCCGCAGGGTGACCCTGCTCACCGCCCTTCACACAGCGAGTTGCCTCACACTGAGCTCTCCAGCCAGACTCCCTACACACTCAACTTCAGCTTCGAAGAGCTGAATACACTTGGCCTAGATGAAGGTGCCCCTCGTCACAGTAACCTAAGTTGGCAGGTATTTATTAAATGGCATTTTTCTTATTATTAAAGAATAAGGGCACTATTCAGTTCACTGAGACTATGTTGGGCATTTATACAGTTGTTCAGGAAATGCTTACTGAATACCAAGTGGACAAACTAGAGGGCTCTGGAGAAAGACAGTAAAATAAGAGGAAAATATAAGGGTATTTAGAAATTGATAAGAACTGTGAAAACAATTGCATAGGGTAATGTTACGAAGAGTAAATAGGCCACTGGGCCACTTCAGTTAGGATGATCAGCATATTTAGCCTTTCACGGATGATTTTCCTGTTAAATATGTTAGTAGTCATTGGTTAAAATACATCGTTATTGGAACACTTGCCACATAATAGCCCCTTGAACACCATCATTTGCGTTTCTGGTATGTATACAACACTCTTTATGGATATTTGTTTTCTTATTATCTGGTGTTAGATGTAGGGGTATTCTTCCTTTGGATAGTCTTGGGTGAGAGAGACCAGGTGAGGAGATGGGACAGAACACAGTAAGAGACTCAGGAGAGAGTAAGGGGGAATGAGAAGAAGGGTATACTAGGAAAAACCAGAGCAGGATACAAAAAATAAGCAAGGAAGAAAAAATAACAAGTGGCTGCAAAGAAACACCACGCTAGGCAATATTTAGGAAAAGCAGTACTGGGTAGATCTACCATTTTTAATGGTGTTTTGTTTAATAGTAAAAAATTTTTTTCATTGTTATTATCTTTTTCTCTACATTACCTTATTTCTTTGTGTTGGCAAGCCATTTTGTTATTGAGTATTGACTGTTTTATTAAGATAAAAATTACTTTACAGTATGCTAAGTCCACACTTGATATTTTTGTTTCTGATTCAACAGCAGTAGTTTTTTTTCTTTTCCCTAGGATTCTTTATAAAGTTTTTAGAGAAATTCTCATTTTCAGCTTTATAATATTTCCTACTGTGATATTTCCTACTGTGACTTGGAAATTCAGAGCTTTCCATCATTGCAACCGTTCTCAAACTTTTCTTCAATCTTAGTCTCCCTTTACTCTCTTAAAAATTATTGAGAACCCCTAAGTATTTTTGTTTACGAAAGTTTTACTATAAACGTTTACTATATTAGGAATAAAAATGGAAAAGGTGTCTAAATATCTATTTATTAACTTATTTTAAAATAAATTATTTACATGTTAACATAAATAACTTTTAAAATTAAAAATAACTATATTTTCTCAAACAAAATTTAGTGAGAAGGTATTTGTTTTGCAAATCTCTTGATTGCTGGGCTTCATAGAAGACACCTGGGTTTCCATCCTGTCTGCATTGTGAATCTCTTGTGATGTCATACATCATGTGGTCTCTGTAAACTCCACTGGACACTCTTGTGAGAATGAGAGTTGAAAATGGCAGTGACATCTTTGTGTTTTTATGAAAACAGTTTGGGCCTTGGGGCTCTCTGGGAGAGGGGTGCACATGTAATATTTGGGGACAGCTGCTCTATAGATTAGGGTAGCACCATCCTTAGATTCTGAGTGTAACCCCTGGGGGTCTTCTCAAGAGAGATAGGCCTCCATTTTGCTTCTACTTTTTTGTTTTAGCCTTTGCTCTTATTCCTTCTTAAACGTTCTTGATTCTTTTTTCTTCCGTTTCCCCCTTATTTTTTCTAATCTGTGCTTTTTTACTTCTCATTTATTAACTTTTCTGGGATCTAAAGTAATTCTAATTCTAATCCTAAAATTTCATATTGAGAAATCAAACCTTAAAAAATATTTTATTTCTCTACTTATTAGGGCCCAACTATTGACCTCATGCTTTTTACATTTTATCAGTGAAGGTGACTTTTGTCTTAAAAGTTAGAAGGTTGAAGATATAAAAACAAGTGCTGTGGCTGGGCATGGTGACATGTGCCTATAGTCCCAGCAACTCAGGAGGCTGGGGTGGGAGGATTGCTTGAGCCCAGGCATTTGAATTCAGCCTGGGCAACACAACAAGACCCTATCTCTTAAACAATAAATACATAAAATTTTAAAAAACAAATGCTAAGATTATTTGTTAATATAACATTTAATTATATTTTAAAATATTAATAAACTGATTTTATTAAAATTTTTATAAAGCTTTTTAATAACAGAAAGATTATTTATAAGGTCATGGCTTTTGTTAAACTGTGTTATGTAGAATTCTTTTAAAAGAATTTGGTGTTTTGATGGCTTTTTAAATTGTTAGTATACATATATATTTCCTAAGCTGATGTTTATTATGGCTTTTTTTCTTATTTGAATTTTTAAATTATTTTTTTTCTGTCTTCACAGTCACAAACTCGCAGAACCCCAAGTCTTTCGAGTCTCAATTCCCAGGATTCCAGTATTGAAATTTCAAAGCTTACTGATAAGGTGCAGGCCGAGTATAGAGATGCTTATAGAGAATATATTGCTCAGATGTCCCAGTTAGAAGGGGGCCCAGGGTCTGCAACAATTAGTGGTAGATCTTCTCCACATAGCACATATTACATGGGTCAGAGTTCATCAGGGGGCTCTATTCATTCTAATCTAGACCAAGAAAAAGGGAAGGATAGTGAACCAAAGCAGGACGACGGAAGGAAGCCGTTTCTCATGAAGAGGGGGGATGTTATAGATTACTCATCATCAGGGGTTTCCACTAATGATGCCTCACCCCTGGATCCTATCACTGAAGAGGATGAGAAATCTGATCAGTCAGGCAGTAAGCTGCTCCTGGGCAAGAAGTCCTCTGAAAGGTCAAGTCTCTTCCAGACAGATTTGAAGCTGAAGGGAAGTGGACTGCGCTACCAGAAACTCCCAAGTGATGAGGATGAGTCTGGTACTGAAGAATCAGATAACACTCCACTGCTCAAAGATGATAAAGATAAAAAAGCTGAAGGGAAGGTAGAGAGAGTGTCAAAGTCTCCAGAACACAGTGCTGAGCCAATCAGGACCTTTATTAAAGCAAAAGAGTATTTATCAGATGCTCTCCTTGACAAAAAGGATTCCTCAGATTCAGGAGTAAGGTCTAGTGAAAGTTCTCCCAACCACTCCCTCCACAATGAAGCAGCTGATGATGCCCAGCTGGAAAAGGCAAATCTCATAGAGTTGGAAGATGACGGCCACAGTGGAAAGCGGGGAATCCCACACAGCCTGAGCGGCCTGCAAGATCCAATTATAGCTCGGATGTCCATTTGCTCAGAAGACAAGAAAAGCCCTTCCGAATGCAGCTTGATAGCTAGCAGCCCTGAAGAAAGCTGGCCCACATGCCAGAAAGCCTACAATCTCAACCGAACACCCAGCACTGTGACTCTGAACAACAATAGTGCTCCCGCTAATAGAGCCAATCAGAATTTTGATGAGATGGAGGGAATTAGGGAGACTTCTCAAGTCATTCTGAGGCCTAGTTCCAGTCCCAACCCAACTGCTATTCAGAATGAAAATCTCAAGAGCATGACGCATAAGCGAAGCCAGCGTTCAAGCTATACAAGGCTCTCAAAAGATTCTTCAGAGCTCCATGCAGTAGCCTCTTCTGATAGTACAGGTTTTGGAGAAGAAAGAGAAAGTATTCTCTAAGAAAAACAAGCAAAAGTAGAATAGTATTACTGTGCCCTTATGACAAATTGTCCTGAATTTTGAATCCATCCATGCAAATCACCTTTATGCATTTTATTTGCAGATAGTTAGTAGATGGTGAGGCTTTTGGTAAAAGAGGCATATCCTACACATCAGAGGAAAGCATAAGAAATGGTGGCTCACCTGTCAGCCTCTGTTGTCTTCGTAATTACTCACTACTGTTACTATACCTTTCATTGGCATATAACCCCATAAAACTTTTCGAGACAAGATGAGATCTGAGTATAAAGATAAGTCAGAAGTAGTCTATTCAATTTAAAGGGCTTAATTTGTGAAAGAAAATAAAAAGCTAGAGAGACCGCTTTTGTAGAACATTCAGTCTTCAAACATTTGAGGGAAGACATGGTGTGAGATGAAGCAGAAGCAAATTTTACTCTTTAGGGTATAATCGAGATAAGAATTTACAGATTATCAAATAGGCCTGACACTAAAGGTAAATGCTCAGTAAATTGAGAACCAGTGTTCTATATAATAGACAAATTGTTTATCAGAGAGGTTTTAGATGTTAAGTCCTAGTAAATATATAATTAAGAGGACTTTAAAAATTGAAAAGAAAGTGACAGTACCCAAGGTAGTATAACTGGGTCATTGGGTCATTGAGAGCTGCCAGGAGAGTAGATACAGGGAGAGGCTAATAACCTCCATATTACCTGGATACTCTTCTCCCTAACCCCCAGACTCTGCTTCAGCACCACCCACCTGTGCCTAAAACACCATCCTGGTCTGTTCTACAACTCTTTTAAATTGCATGCCCAATTTTTCTTAGTGAGCTTAGCAATGAAATGGGGGGATAAAACATAAATTCTTTTTCTGGAGAATCAGGGAAACCTGGGTAATAATAGGCATTAATAAATATTTATGGAATGAGTGAATGAGGGAGCAATTACATCAAGAAGGTTCATGATGGCCAGACATGGTGGCTCATGCCTGTAATCCCAGCGCTTTGGGAGGCTAAGGCAGGAGGATCATTTGAGACCAGGAGTTTGAGACCTCCCTAGGCAATTTAGTGAGATTCCCATGTCTATAAAAATTTTTTCATAAAATGTTTAAAATGGTAGAAGATCAATGACAATTGACAAATGACACGGAAATATTTAATTAGGTAAAACTAAATCATTGCCTTCTATCCCTGGGCAGAGTTGACGTACTTCATCTGTTCCTAAATCAGCATGTTAATTCTGGGGGAAGATCATAAAAAAGGAAATAACGTCCTTTAAAAAAGTTTAAAAACATGTAACAAAGTAACAATAAAAAATAAAAAAAATAAAATTGTTGTAACAGTAAAACTGTATACTTTCCATTAATTGTTAGCAGAGGTGAAAGAATGATCACATTAAAGTACTGTGTGGACTAGAAATGTACCCTGTCATCATGCATTGAAATTTTCCTGTCGTTTTAACATAGCTTATTTATGTAGAATTAATTCTGGCCGTATATCCTAAGTCACAGATAGGATCGTAGATGGTGAGATCACAGACATGCACTTATCTAGATTCAGTGTTACACTGGCAATGTTGATCACTCAATAGATTTGTATTAATATGCTGATTACATTATTTACTTGACCAGTCATTGTGCTAAGTTGTTGCTCTTTTGTGTTTCATTGCCTTAGTGTTTGAGTGTAATCTAGCATTTTAATAAAGTATTTATTTTGCATGATCTTTAACCAGTGCTTTAAGTAATTTTAAGAAGGCAGAATGTAATTGACATTATATATTGAAATCTTAACATTTTAATATTTGTAGTGTTTATTAGTTTGCAATAATGTATAATTAGTAATTATTTCAGAGGCAATATTTTGTTCATTTTCAGGTGAGTAGTTGCAGCTTAATATCATTGGAGTACATTTTTTATACTGTTTGTGAAATTAATACTAGGGTATTAAGTGTACAAATAGACTTAGAAAACAATAAAAAAAATTGCATGCTATTCTGACTCATGAATTTTTATTCACTACAATGATTCACATTTTGATTAAAAATAAAAAAGTAGTCTGTGTGTTTGTTTTGTCACATGTTTAAAGCTGTGGAAGACTTAGATTTATGTCCAGCCAGGCAGTTGACAGAAGTGTTCTGAACTGCTCCCAACCAGTCTTTAATCGAACTTGGCTCTTAAGTCCCAATGCCTCAATGGTGCTTTTGTGAAGTATTAGTGCCCGGAGACACATTTGTGCCAAAAAGCACATTAGTGTCCAGTGACTGTGCAGTGTATTTCTGTAGCCACAGCAGGTAGTTTATCCAGATACCAGGAAGATACCAATTTATCACATGAACATCCTGGAGAACTTTGCTTTTCCAAACTGATAGAAAAGTTAACAAACCAGATGAGTTACTGAGTCACACACCATCTCCCTTTCAACTTGTGTGTCTGTGTCTGTGTATCTGTATCTGTTTATAACACATAACTCAGTCTGATTCTCACATAGGCAAAACTTTGCTTTAAGCTGGGTGAAAAACGATAGAAAAGAAAATCGGTGTTCTGTTCCCTCTAATCCCTTGAGTCTGCCTCATTTAGAGTTCTGTGTTCTATAAACCATTTTCCTTCACTGTAGCCACTGATAGTTCTGTTAATGTAGCACAGCACTGAGCCAGATCCGTTCACCGTGGCCTTGTGGAATACTGCCTGTGAGTACAGGCTTTCGGCAGAAGATGGAGTGAAGAGAAGCTGTTGCTCTCTTCTCGGTTGAAACAGCTTTCACAGTCCTGAATGTTTAAAGATCAGCTCTACTGGGAAACTTAAGCATTAACAGTGTCAATACCAAAGGAAATTTTGTCTTCATGTTTTATTTTACCTATATAGTGTCCAGAATAATTTTAATTGCTTAACCAAGTAATTTTAGAAACTTAGTTGCTAAGATTCTAACCTTGAGACCTCTTTAGATCATTTGCATGATACAATATTGGAGTAGAAATATATTTGTAATTATGATTTTTTTCCTTACAAATACTAACCATTAGAAGAAAAATTTGAATGCAATTAAGTCCTTTTTTCTTCTGGCTAAAATACTAAAATTTAAGAGATTTTAAGACCACATAATTTTTAGCTACACCAGGAATTCTCAGCCTATTTAGAAGTATCCCATGGTTTAAAAGTCTGAATGTCTGGCTAACTCTTGAATAAATCAGCGTCACTGCTAGGAAAAGGAGAACCAAAGGGCACTGTTCCCCTTTATTTTATGGGTGAGTTACTTGAGGCAGTAAATGGGTAAAAGGGAAGGTGCCATGAAATTAACTTCTTTGGCAAGCATTTGCGACAATATCGGGCTTAATTATTCCCCCACCTTCTCTTCTAGACTTATGCTGGGCAGAAGGGAAGAAGCAGACTGGTGACGTCTTGTGTGGGGTACAGGAGGGGTGTGGGCAGGCCTGGGTGGGACTCTGGAAGGACTGCATTTTTAATTTCCAGGTGTGGTACTCCCTGCCCTTCCCTACCACAGAGTCCTAGGCACAGGCCATCGTTATGCAAATGAATTGAGAAATGGAAATTTATAGATAACAGTGAGCCAGCACTGGATGGTTTTTAATGGCTTATCACAAAGGTTGAGAATCCCTGGTTGAGACTGATTAAATGGAGAATTTAGATTCTTACATAATTTTAAACCCTTTCATGCCTAGGAGGAAAATGCTGGCCTTCAGATAGATAGCTCTTCAGAGGATCCAGATTAAACTAAGGTATGTAAAAAATTAGTTTTCAAAGTCAGCTACAGTCATGTACCGCATGAGAGCGATTTGCTGAACGACTGACAGTGGTCCCGTAAGATTATAGTACTGTATTTTTACTGTATTAAAGTAAAAATGTTTCCCGTGTTTAGACACAAATACCATTGTGTTACAGTTGCCTACAGCGTTCAGCACAGTGACCTGCTGTACAGATTTGTAGCCTGGGAACAGTAGGCTGTGCCATATAGCCTAGGTGTGTGGTAGGCTTAACCATCTAAGTTGTGTAAGTGCACTCCATGATGTCTCACAAAGGAATCACTTGACCCATTTCTCAGAAGGCATCCCTGTCAATAAGTGCATGACTGTGGTTTTAAGCCAGCTGTTGAAAAACAGTGCTCGTCAGAGAATTTATGTTCTCACCACTTTAATAAATGAGTTAAGGAAATATCTAAAATAGTTGCTAGAAATTAAATATGAAGGGAGACCCCCAAAACCCCGGAATTTATTTAAAATTATGTATTCTTGTATGTGTAAACTTCAGTGACCTTCAGAGTACTCTCTGTTTGATGCAATGCACCTATCGAGATGCTTCATCTACTGCTCAAAATAGTTTTTGACCTTGTCTATTTTGATGCCTTTTGGTGCTTTTGCCCTTTCTTGTTTCACCTCTTTCACATCAGCAAAACGTTTCCCTTGGAGGACTCTTTTCATCCGAGAAACAAAAACAGTTTGCTCCAGGTGAAACTGTGTAAATAGGGAGGGTTTGGGGTCAAAAACTGTTGAACACTCAACGCAGTGTGGGCAGGTGCGTAGTCATGGTGGAAGAACCAGTCACTTGTTTGTCACAGCTCAGGATGTTTCTTATGCAAATTGTGACACAACTTTCTCAAAACTTCCAGATAAAAACTTCGGTTGACCATTTGATCCGGAGGAACAAGTTCTGAGTGTACTACAAGGGGCCCACCCTCCAAAAGGATAATTCTGTTTTTTGGGGGGTCCCCCCTAATATTGTCACTCACATGATCAAAGCTTTTGAGTAAAATTATTAGTAAACCACAGTCGTGGCTGACACCAGATCAGAGTCTGCTGTGCCACACTCCCTCATGGGTTGAAGGTTTCAAACGGGCTTTCTGGAACTCAGAGGAGAAACCCCTTTGAATGGGTCTTGTGTTGCTGTGGGATGAGTACTTATCCTGAATTTTCAGTACAGTGAGGCATTCTGGAAAACAAAGACTTTATAAGAAGAAAAGGGTCCGTCAAGGAAGAGCAATTGTTTCCATATCTATTAGTAGGATGACTTTTAAAGCGTCAGTAAAACCCTACCTGGAGTGAAGACCAACCTAATGTAATGTGATACCATTACATAACGTATCATGAAGGTGATGTTACTGTTTCAAAGCACATGGGATACTGCGAATCAGCCTGCAGAGTGTCATCAGCAGCCACTTGCTTATGGAGTACACTTAAGTCCATTTTCTTAAGTTAAATAGGCTTCTTGTGGTGTTACTTACGCTACTGATGTGTATTAGGAACCCTTTCTTAATTTTGCCAGGATTTAACAAAGCAAGATGTAACATACCAAACTGAATTACTAGAACTTGGATAAATGAAAATTTACTTTTAGACTGTAGAACGACATGCTCCATATTATTCAAATTAGGAAGCTGTTTGAAATCATGTAGATCATCTTGATTATTCACTGTCATTTTCTAACTTTAATATTTTATACTTATTTACCTTGTTTTCTTTCAAGGCAATAAGGGCTCTAGAGCTTAGTGTCCTGCCCATAGACCCAAGTTCGTTTCTCATTTCTCCTGACAGTTCGGGTCACTTCTCACAGCTGGCTTCCTCGCCAAATGTAAGAGGGTGAAGAAGACACCACCTATCTACCATTCATCGCCGGGAGACAAGAAATTTGTTCACTCCACCAGTTTTATTTGTTCTCAGTAGGTGTAGAATTTAGAATTTAGTTCTTAGTAGGTGTAGAAAGTGTTCGTTTTATGAAATCTTAGGTAAAAGCCCAAATCTATAGCAAGAAGCATGTAAATAAACTCTATTTTACAGCATCCTCTTGGTCAGGTATCTAATAAAAAGTTAGAGTGTTATTTTCAAAGTTATCATAGTTCTTGATGCTTGCACTTTCTTAGCTGTGTTTCTCAGAATTTGTAGACTGCATATTGTTAGACTTGACGCGAATTAAACTTTTTATTTTGAAAGAAAGTATTTTCTTTTTGAGTTTTTTTGTTTTTCTCCTTCTGTCTTTTTGTTGTTGTCTGTTTGTTTTTATTTTTAGAGACAGGGTCTTGCCCTGTACCCAGGCTGGAATGCAGTGGTGTGATCATAGCTCACTGCAGCCTCGAAGTGCTGGGCTCAAGTTTCAGCCTCCTAGTAGCTGGGACAACCAGTGTGAACCACCACACCTGGCTTTCGTATTTTACCTGAGTTATTTTCAGACTTTCTGTGTATTAATTTTTTGTTGTTGTTGTTGTGTTTTTTTTTTTAAGCTTATCATGTACTCATTCTATTTTCCCAGAAAACATTCCTTAGACCAGTAGAAGGGGAAAGAAGGGGAAAGAACCTCAGGATAGCTTGTGGACCAAATCCTAGATTGCAGATAGCCAGTGGAATTCAATAAATACTTAAGTGAGTGAATAAAGTATATCTAAGCTGTGGGGACGAGACTGGGAGAGCCTGACCACAAATCCTACGCAGTGCCTTTCAACTGTCGAATTTAAATGCCTTAACTCAACCATAGCTCCCTACGGGGCCCAACCTTCCCCTTCACCTTCTACCCACACTGCTACCCGCCCGGCCCCTGTAAGCTTTTTTGTTTGTGATTTTGGGAACCTCTGAAGTCATCATCACATGCTTTGTTAAAATCTCCCAGGGATAGAGATCCATAGCCAATCTTGATCAGCTCTAGACTGTGTGTTCTATATGGATGCATTTCTAAATCCTCTTGATTCCTTGGTTTAGTCCTTTGTTGAGATGCCCATCTTACAAATGAATATCATTCTAGAATCAGGTTCAACTCTACATTTTACTTTAGGATAACATCAGGACTATTACAGAAAATCTGAGATATGGCCTTACCCTATCCATAGCTCAGTTTTTCAACCTTTCTTTTTGTAAGGCTAGTTTTATTTTCAATGACCACCCCTCACTGTCTCTGTCACTCCCTTGTCTCAGGTAGACCACACCAGTTAAGTCTGACCTAGTATAATAAGTGCGTTTTACTGGGCTTTCATAGTGAAAATTTTGTACACGAGT